CGTATATTCTGCCTATATTACTCAACTGCTATGCCGTATATTCTGCCTATATTACTCAACTGCTCTGCCGTATATTCTGCCTATATTACTTAACTGCTATGCCGTATATTCTGCCTATATTTAATCGAAGCATTTTTTGTATACTTTCTAAACATCGCAGTTACACATCGCAGGCAGGCGCCTCCATGACCGAAAAAGTAACATGTAAGAAAATAGAGGCAATATATAAAATAATATGCGTTCAAAATTATTTTTTTAAGACAACTCTTCCAAAGTTACCACTGTCTCCGATGTTGCACATGTACAATGAATTTCTATTTTTAATTTTAAATACATAAAAAATTAAATTAAATATATTTTTTTAATTTTTCAAATTATTTGTTCTGTCAATTTATTCCAGCATTGTTTCTGCCTTTACGCAAGTGAGCAAAATTTCAGATCGATTGGACGGGTAGAAGTGTGTTAAATATCGATTATATGAATTGTAGTAAATAAACAAACAAACAAATAGACAAACAACAAGAAGTGAAGTTACAGAGAAATGTTGTAGGAATTTAGATCTAGTCCAGCGACAAGTCAGCTGAAGTCTACGGACTTTGCGTTGAACATTTAAGTTACTTATCAGTGGCTTGTCTAACGCTAAATATTTTTTAACATTACATACTAAAGTGGTTTTTAATTGTAAACAGGGAGGTAACTTGTAACTGTAAATAGGGAGGTAACTTGTAACTGTAAATAGGGAGATAACTTGTAACTGTGAATGGGGAGATAACTTGTAACTGTATATATACAAATATTTCATAACTACTTATTGGAAATTAAATTAACTTCCTCAACTAGGTTAAATTAACCTTATAGATTCAAATTTAACATTCTCATAAAATTAAATTAAAGCAACCTTCTAGAACTAAATTAAATTAACCTAATAGCATAGAATTAAACTAACCTGATAAAATTAAATTAAATTTAATTAACCTCGACGACTTATATTGAATTAAATTAACCTCATAGCATTAAAATAAATAAACCTCATATAATCAAATTAAATTAACCTCCTAGAATTAAAATGATTTATCCTCCCTGAGCTAAATTAACTGAGCATTCCGGTCAAAAAAAATCTTTTTTCTTTACGGATGGGTCATTCTGAAACTTTTTAATTATATGTAAAATTGAAATCTAAGACATTTGTTCGTTTAAATTTATCTAAAATTTGAAATAAAACGTGTAATTCATAGAAAATAGCAATTATAGGGTACTGTAAAAAATCTCATTCAACTAACGTGCTACAACATGGAGAGACTAATCATTCGATTCGTAAAGACCATATCTAGCGATCATCAGGTCATTTTTTCCCCAAATTCTTATTTTTGTTGGATTGTTTGTATCCAACGGGGAGGTTGGATTTTTTTCTCTTTTCATAGTTTTCGATCTTCCACCCGTTTCTTCAATATATAATCCAAACTAAAACGAAACGTGGTCTGCACCGTGTGCAAAGTGACCTGGGAAAAGTGACCGGGGAATCAAAAAAAGTGACCGGGGAATCGAAAAAAGTGAAGAGGGAATCGAAAAAAGTGAAGAGGGAATCGAAAAAAGTGACCGGGAAATCAAAAAAAGGGACCGAGGAATCGAAAATTGAAGAGGGAATCGAAAAAAGTGACCGGGGAATCGAAAAAAGTGACCGGGGAATCGAAAAAAGTAACCGGGAATTCGAAAAAAGTGACCGGGGAATCGAAAAAAGTGATCGGGGATTCGATAAAAATATTTTTAAGAATCGGATGGTGATTCTCTCAATGCTGTAGCTTGAGAATCATAGGAGGAGAAAGGTTTACAATCAGAAATTTTTTAAGTTTTCAGGAAAGCCAAAAATATGAAATTTTGATCATTTAAATTAGGTTTTATCTACGCTTCGACGACTGTCGTGAACGAACAAAGGAACGTACAAACATGGCTCTTGGCTTTTTAAATGTGCAACTATTGGCCCTTTAAATGAGCCTAAAAATCAGAAAAGTCTAAATTTTTTACCGAATTGCTCCCATTAAATTAACTTAATCGAATTAGATTAAAGCAATATCCTAGAATCAAATTAAATAAACCTCCTAGAGTTAAATTGAAATAACCTCTAATAGAATTAAATTTAATTATACTTCATGAGCTAAATTAAAATAATCTCATAGAAATAAATTAAATTAACCTCCCATAATTAAGTTAAATTACCCACCTAAAATTCTACTAAATTAACGTCCTAGAATCAAATTAAATTAACCTCCTAAAATTTAAACAAGCTCCTAGAATTACAATAAATTAACTTCCTGGAATTAAATTAAATTAATATCCTAGAAATAAATTATTTTAACCCCATAGAGCTGAATTAAATTAACTTTTTGCTATTAAAATAAATAACCCTTCCAGAAATAATTAAACTAACCTCCTAGAAGTAAACCAAATTAACGTCCGGAATAAAATAACTTAACCTCCTAATATTAAATTAAACTAACTTCCAGAAATAAATTCTATTAACCTCAGAAAATCAAACTAAAATAACCACCTAAAGTTAAGTTAAATTAACCTCCTCGAGATAAATTAAATAAACTTTCTATTAATAAATTAAATTAACTTCACATAATTATATTAAATTAATCTCCTGCAATGAAATTAAATCCACCTCATAAAAATAAATTAAAAAACTTTCCATTAATTAAATTAAATTAAATTATCCTACTGGAGCTTATAAAAATTATCCTCCTATAGCTAAATTTAAATTACCTCCTGGAATTAAATTAAATTAAGCTTTTTTATTAGGTGGATATATAAATTATCCTCCGAGAATTTATTTAATTGTCATTCGAGGCCTAAATTAAATTAGCCTCGTAGAAGAAAATTAAATAAACCTCCAAGAATTAAATAAAATTGACATAATGAATCAAATTAAATTACCCTCCTATCATTTTATCAAATTAACCTAATACAGCTAAATTAAATTAACGTTTTAGAATAATCTAAAATGTTAATTAATTAAATTAACCTCCTAGAATTAAATTATATTAACATCATACAATAAATAGACAATCTTCCTAATGTTATATTGAATTAACATCACAATAGCAAACTAAATTAACCTCCTAAAATTAAATTAAAATAACCTCCTTGAATTAAGTTAAATTAATTTGCTTTAGCTAAGTTTAATTAATCTTCTAGAATTAAATTGAGTTAACCTCCCGAAATGAAAATAAATAAACCTCCTAGAATTTGATAGAATTTGCTTTTATGATTCATATTTAAATTAACCTCCTTGGACTAAATTAAATCAACCTCCTAGAAATAAATTGAGTTAAACTTTCAGAAATAAATTGAATAAACCTTCTGGAAATAAATTAAATTAATCTTTTAGAATTAAATTAAATCAACCTCCAAGAATTAAATTAAGTCAACCTTTTAGAATTAAAATTAATAAACCTCCTATATTTAAATTTAATGGTAAAAATTTCAATTTAAATAAAATTAATAAAAAATGAGTCATGTATTCATTACTCACTTTTAACCATACAGCTCAGTGTCAAAATTCAGGTCACATTCATATTATACATCGGTATGAAAGCGCTTTGCATGTCAAAGTTCTTGCCAGCTTTCTATTCCATCAATAGATTTTTTGCACTCGTGTCCGTCTCTTTGTACTGGCGACTTTTGAACACCTGGCCGTTCCTTTGTACTGGCGACTTTTGAACTCATGGCCGTTCCTTTGTACTGGCGACTTTTGAACACCTGGCCGTTCCTTTGTACCTGTCTCTTATACACATCTAGATGTGTATAAGAGACAGCTCCTGAACTTCAATTCGATAATTGAGTAAGAACTTTACGTGATATATTGCAAGCCTTCTAAAGTTTTAATAATGAAGAAATCACAAGGTTCACAGAATCTAAAAGTTTGAATGCTAAATTTTTGACTTTCGAGTACTCTATTGACTATTGGGTCTATTC